CGCCAGCCTGGGCGAGGGCGCCGAGGGCGCTGACGAGGCCGCACCCTTTGAGGCGGACATCGACGCCACCACTACCGAAACCTACATGGGCGAGTGGAAGAACGACAAGCGCTCGGGCTTCGGCGTGAGCGAGCGCTCCAGCGGCCTCCGCTACGAGGGCGAGTGGCTGGATAACCTGCGCCACGGCTACGGTTGCACCACGCTGCCTGACGGCCACCGTGAGGAGGGCAAGTATCGCCACAACGTGCTGGTCAAGGCCACCAAGCGCCGCGTGTTGCCGCTGAAGAGCAGCAAGGTCCGCCAGAAGGTGGAGCACAGCGTGGAGGGTGCCCAGCGCGCTGCGGCCATAGCGCGCCAGAAGGCCGAGATTGCTGCCTCCAGGTAGGCCTCAGTGTGGGGATAGAGGGAATGGGTCGGTGGAGGGTGGTCCTGGAGCAGGGCCTTCCTTGCCTTTCTGCTTCCTTCACCATTAGGAGGGGACCCTTGTGACCTTGATGGGGTTAATTGGAGGAGCCTTAGCTATTGCTGTCCCCATCCATTCTCATCATCCATCCACTCAGCTGCCGCGCTGACACTAACCCTTGGCCCTCCAGCCCCTGCATCAACCCCTTACATTCACTCAACCATTCTACTGCTCACCATGTCTTCACACCCTTTGTTTACCCTAATGGCCATCCAGTGATTGATCTGTCTATCCAGCTGCACAATCAAGCATGCAGTCACCCATTCAGTCCCTTCATTCATGTAACTTCTCTAACATCCACCTGAACAACTTCGTCTACCCAACCATTCCAAACAACCAGCCACTCCAGTAGCTGAAGCTAACATCCACCAGTTCAGCCACCCGTTCCCACATTCATTCATGCTTACCCACTGTCTACCTTTCCATCCTTTTATTCACCCAACATCCAATTATCGACCTATTCACCCACCCAACTATCCATCCATTCACTGAGACATCTATTCAACCTGACTGATCGCTCATTCACAATAAGCCGCAGCTGCCCATCTTAACATACAACTGTGTATGCATTCACCCATCTACTTCCATTTATCCAAATACCTCATCTCCCAGCCACACTTCCATCAACTGAACCATCACCTGCATTCACTCATCCATCATCCAGCCACCTCTATTGCTGATGAACCATACTTTATCCAACCATCTACCATTCTTCTGTTCACCCAACAATTTTACCCTCCCAATCACCCAGCTATGCATATCCATAAACTCTCCCATCCACTAAGTATCCACCTGTCGTCTACATTCACACACCCTTCTATGTCTTCTCGTTCTACTCCATATAAAGTGTTATTATTGTCAAATGTTTATAGCACCTACTGTATGCATGGCTGATTGGGCTTACATTGACTCATTCAATCTTCTCAACAACCTTTTAGGATTGTTTTATTGCCATGCTACAGGCCAGTTAAATGAAGCTCAGAAAGATAGGGTTATTTGCCCCAAATCATCCAGTTAGTGAGTGAGTAGCCTTTCATAATCTGGTTCCCATCCTTCCCTCATTCCCTTTTCTATCATTCATGCCCCAGGCCTGGATTTTTCCCCTCTTTCTGGTTATCACCCTGGCCTTTTGTCACCTTTCTGTAGCTCCTCCTGCCACAGAGCTATTGTTCATGCTGGTTTCTCTATCTGGGTTGCTTCTCCTTCCATTTGCTGTCCACTTAAGAATTACTGTTATTCTCATTTTGCAAATTTGGTGTGAGCTGTGGGGAAAGTGGTGTGAGGTAATGAAAGTCTTTTACCTATCCTGGTGCCTATGGTGATCCTCTTGGTGGCTTTAAATAGCCTGGGCTAAAATTGGTACATGTGGCCTAGAGACAAATCCTGGCATTACTCTTTTTAATAGCGCAGTGCTTTGGGTAAATCATCTTGCCTGTGTGAGTTTCAGCTTCCCCTGTGTGTGGCGTCATCATTATTTAGTTGTGTATCCTTGGCCAGTTGAGTTTTCTTCTCCAGCCTCAGTGTTTCATCTGTGAAATACTTGAGAAAGAAGTACAGGTCCAGTGGTTCTCAGTCCTATTGTGGATGTTTCCCTGGGAAGCAGACTCTGAGATAGAGATCAGTGTGCAGGGCATTCATGGAAGTGCTCTCAGGACCTATGCAGGTGGGAAGGTCAGGCAGGAAGCAGGGTGAGCCTGGGAGATGCTGGCACTAGTGAAGTCTTTTCAGAGCTCTCAGCCAACCACAAGGGGTGCTCTGTGGCAAAGATGGCCATCCAAGCAGTCTCAAGGGCAGCATGGACTGGATCTTTATATCATCTGTGTTAGATGTATTAAATGCTGGCAATCTTCCAGAAAAGAGCATGACCCGGAGCTGGACAGCTCTCCATAGTCCCTGCAGAGGACTGACAATCGCAGCTCTCTATGCAGTCCTGAAGGGAGCACATCCACTGTAGTGTCTGCTGTAGTGCTGGACACACACCAAGCACGCTCTCAAGAAATACTACCAGTTATCGTCATCATGTAATGAATTTGACAGCTGTAGAAACTGAGGCATAAAGAAAAAAATGTAATATGCCCAAGACCACCACCTGGCAAGCAAGTTGGGAACCAGGCTTCAGCCCTCAGCTTTCTGATTCTAAAGCTTTAAGCTATACATTTTGCTCAACTTTGTAAACTTTAGATAGTCATGAATGTTAATGTCATTAAGGCAGAAAGAAGATATGGATGATTTTCTTCAGACTTCGTGGTTTGAGGCGGCTATGGTTTGTCCTGTCCAAACTCATGTTGGAATTTAATTTACATTGATTTTAATAGCATTAAGAGGTGGGACCTTTACGAGGTGATTAGGCCTTGAGGACTGTGCTGTCATGGGTGGGATTAATGCCATTATAAAGTGGTGAGTTTAGATCCCTTTTGCTTCTTTGACTTTTCACCTTCTGGAGGATTCAGACTTTCTCCCTTCCAGAGACTACTACAGCATTTACAACACTATCTTGGAAGAGGAAAATGGCCTCACCAAAAAGTGAACTTTCTGGTGCCTTGAACTTAGCTTTTTCAACCCTCAGAACTACCAGCCAATTGCTTTCTGTTGGTTACACGGGATGTGAGTGAAAAATGTGGCAAATGTTTAAATTAAAAACAAATTATTACTAGGCCGGGGATTTAGCGCAGCGTTTCGGTGGCCTGCCTCGCAAGCGCGAGGACCTGAGTTCGATCCCCTGTACAAAAAAATATATATATATTACTGTGAGACACATGGCCATTAGTCCTCTTCAAAATACTCCCCCTTGCTTTGAACACGCCTGTTGTTCTTGCCACTTTCTGAAGCAGTTCTGGAGGTGTTCTCTTATGCCTGCCTCGGTGTCCTGAGTCAATTCAAAACATTTACCTTTCACGGTCCTTTTGACTTTGAGGAAGAGCTAGAAGTTGCACAGGCTAGATCAGGTGCATAAGGTGAATGAGGCCACACTGTATTATTTCCATTTGACAGAAATCGCTGTAAACATTTTGAATTGATTTAAGACATTGACTTGTGTTCACCAAAGGACACTCACGAAAGAGGACTTCCAGAACTGCTTCCGTAGGGGGCAAGAGCAGTGAGTGGGATGAGCGTATTTGAATAAGGTGGAGTTCCTGGGGGGATATTAATGTCAGTGTATCTTTCGGTGTAATACATTTTCTACAAATGTAAGCATTCAGCTTATTTTTATCATGCTTCATAAATTACCAATCTCAGATACTCTGTTAGGCAGTACAATGGACTAAGAGGCAGAGCCAGTCTTATAATTACGGGGTCACTTCTTAAAACTAAAACTTACTTTGGAGTAATTCTAGATTTATAAAATGTTGCAGAGATAATACACATAACTCCCATATGCTTTTCCATTCAGTTTCCTCTAATGTTGGCTTCTTACATTACCATAAGACGTTCATCAAAACCAACAGTGGCACATTACTGCCCACTAAACTCTAGACTTTATATCAATTTTACTAGTTTTTCCACTAACCGATATTGCCTTGTCAAGTCTCCTTAGTCAGCTCTGATCTCTGACAGTTTCGCAGCCTTTCCTCGTTTCTCTTGACCTGGACAGTTTTGAAGGACTACTCGTCCATCTATTGGATTTGTCTGACATTTTTGTCCAAATGACTGAGGTTATGGGTTTTGGAGTAGACTACAGAAGTAGGATGCTCTTACCACTGTCATGTCACACTGGGGATTGTGAAATACACGTGTCTTTTCACTACCCATGATCATGTGACTCAGGAGGCATCTGCCAGGACGCTCTGATGTAAAGTTACTGTTTTCTCCTCTCCCTGCTCTGATCTTAGGAATCTAGGTGTTAAAGTCAGATGAGAAAGTCTGGTGCTACACGTCATCTTTTGGAGGAGGGATATCCACATATATCATTTGAAATTCTTATGTATGTAAGATTGGTCCCTTTTTCTAAAGAGAACATTTTTATTTGATTGATTGAATGATTTATAAACCCAGGGCCTCACCCATGCCAGGCAATAACTCTACCACTCTACCACCCCCCGTCCCCGCCCATAAAGAGAACATTTTTAGTAACTACATTGATAAATGTATATGGTCACAACAGAGAGAACTGAAGCCAGTACTGTCCTGGGACATGCAGAGAGGAATGAGTAAGAATTTAAGCCTTGGATTCAGACAACTACAGCATGGAACCCTGGCTCTGTTACTGGAGTTGTAGGGCAAAAGCTTCTGCTCTAGGAGGGTCCCACAGGCTGAGCCACCCATCCCATAACATCAAGCAAGGAGTCAAAACCAGGTGTGGTTGTGCACACCTATAATTCCAGCACTCAGGAGCTGAGGCGGGAGAATTGCCAGGAGTTTAAAGCCAGTCTGTAATACACAGCGAGTTCAGGACCAGCCTCAAGCAAGACCCTGTCTCAAAGACAAAAAACAAAGCAAAATAATAAAATTAGCATGACCACACTGGGAAGCACTGATAAAGAGGTGTGAGATATATCTTTGAGGGGCTTAATGAAATTTTGGGTTTTATAGAAATGGGGAAGCAAGGGAGAGTTGTTTGCATAGCTTGTGGGGGAGTATATAGCACAGGTAATCCTGGTCTGGTCATGATCTGGTTGATAGATAACAGCTCAGCATTGATTCTAGGAGTTCCTGTGCGAGCATCATTGCTTTAGGAGACACTTGGGTTCCCATGATGAGATGCCAGCTACTGATTAGGGAGAAGCCTCAGTTCCCATCATGGGGCGATTGCTTCTGCTTGGAGGGGGTGACCTTACTGTGAGGTGGCCTGCAGGCTCTGCTTTTTCTGGTATGAGGTGGCTGCAGGTTTAGGACAGTGTCTGGAGACTTCTAGGCATTGCTTCAAAGGGTCTAGAACTGGGCTTTGTAAAAGCTGTCAATCAGTTGTCCCTGCAAATCC